AAGTAGAAGATGATAGAGGCCCCAGTCTTGGTACTCCCAGATTTTGAGAAAGTGTTCGAGGTAAACTGTGATGCGTCCGGAGTTGGCATTGATGGTATTCTGCATCAAGAAGGGCGTCCAGTAGCATTTTTCAGTGAGAAGCTGTCAGGATCGAAAAAAATTATTCCACCTATGATCTGGAGTTCTATGTCATAGTTCAGACTTTGAAGCATTGACGTCATTACTTGGTACAGAGGGAGTTCATCCTTGTTGCTGATCATGAGGCCTTGAAGTACATCAATGATCAGCACAAGCTGAGTAGGTGACATGCAAAGTGGATGGCGTACTTGTAGGAGTTTACATTTACACTAAGACATCAAGCAGGGAGTTTGAATCGAGTAGCAGATGCATTGAGCCGTCGCACATTACTCCTCACCACCATGAGCACCAGAGTTGTTGGCTTTGAAGCATTTCTTGATATGTATGCTGCAGATCCTTCCTTCGGGAAGATAATTCAGGAGGTAATTAATAATCACCGACATGATTTTATTTTACATAACGGTTATCTGTTTCGTGGATTGCAGTTGTGCATTCCAGACTGTTCACTAAGGCAGCAGATCATTAGTGAACTTTATAATGAGGGACATTTTGGGCGAGATAAGACATTGGCGTTGGTATCTTCTGATTATTATTGGCCCAAATTGAGCAGTGACGTAGCGCATTATGTGGAACGGTGTTATATATATCAGAAGTCCAAAGGAGCTCTTACTAATGCTGGACTGTACACACCATTACCTGTACTTGAGGCTTCTTGGTTTGATGTGAACATGGATTTTATATTGGGCTTACCCCTACACAACGGGCGATGGATTCCATTCTTGTTGTGGTTGACAAGTTTTCAAAGATGGCTCATTTTGTGGCTTGCCGGAAGACGATGGATGCTACTCGAATTGCCCATCTTTATTTCAAGGAAATTGTGCGTTTACATGGTGTTCCCCAATCAATCACTTCTGACCGTGACACCAAGTTCATAAGTCATTTCTGGAGGAGCTTGTGGGAGAACTGGGGACGGAGTTGAAGTTTAGTAGTGCCACCACCCCAAACAGATGGTCAGACAGAGGTGGAAAATCGGAGTTTGGAAAATCTTTTGAGAAGTTTAGCAGGGACTAAATTGAAAACAGTGGGATTTGGCATTGCCTATAACCAATCAAAGAACAGAACCACAGGATTGAACCCATTTGAGGTTGTCTATGGTCGTAAATCATCCGGAGTACTTGAATTAGCTCCTATCCCATGTATGGGGTGTTTCAATCACAAGGCTGATGAGATGGCAGATCATCTTCAGGGTATCCATGAACAGGTGAAGTTGTCCATTTAGGAGAGTAATTCCAAGTACAAGGCTCAGGCAGATACTCATCATCGTCAAGTACTCTTTGATGTTGGTGATTTTGTGTGGGTAGTATTAACACGTGATCGTTTTCCAGCTGGGAAGCATAATAAGCTTAAGGAGCGAAAGATTGGACCGTGTGAAGTGCTCCAGAAGATCAATGATAACACTTACAGATTGTGTCTTTCCAGCCATTTGAAGACTTCCGATGTCTTCAATGTGAAACATCTAAGTCCATGTTTTGTGGAGTTTGATGAATCTAATGTGAACTTGAGGGCGAGTTCTTTTCAACCCGGGGCGATTGATGCTGGAGGATTCGAGTCGAGTGACGCTGATCTGTCAGATAGCTCATTGATGGCACTGAGATACCATGGGATGGGGGATATGCGCAAAGATGAAAAATAAATGCAATCTTTCCTTAATGGGGTAATTTTGACACGTATTTGGTAATTTGGTCATAACTTTGGCTACGGTTATCAGAATCGCTATTATGACCCCAATCCGGAAAGCTCTCTTTGGCGCGCATGTCGTGGTCAAGATTTTAGTTTATTTTCAGTTTTATGTTTTGAAAATCAGTTCTAAGATTACTAAAAACGTGTTTGGTTGAAATTATTTCTCAAAACAGAGAATTAAAAAAAAATTTGGTTTGAAATTTTGAAAAATTGTTTTATGGCATTTTACGCCATTAAATTTGATTATTCAATAAAAATGAACAACTTTATGTTAAATTATATATATATATATATATATATATATATATATTGATGAATCTTATAGTATTTTTTCTCTCTACAAAAGTAAAATAAAAAATATAATAAATTGAGTTCAAAATATAAGAAATGAAAATAAAAACTAATGACGTAGATTGAGAATATAATATTTATTTGTGTTTATTTGAATATTTTTTAGAATTTTTATGTAAATAATCATTAAAAGCTTGAACTATTTTTTTTTGGGAATTTTTATCATTTTTTTTTCAATTTTTTTATTTTTTAGAATTGATCAATTTTATTTTTCTTGAATTTTAAAAATTTATTTGTTAAAATTCTATATTTTTATTTCTAAAAATTTCTAATTTTTAAAATTTATTTAAATAAAATTTAATTTAATAGCTTTTTTTCCGTGTTCTGGTGAATATAAGAAAAGAGAAATGTACATTGTTTAAAGAGGCAAAATTTGAATTCTAAAGAGTTATAAT